TTTATTTATTCAAAATTTGCATTCCAGATGAGAGCAGCATGTTGACGTTTGATTGATTTACAAGCTTCACTTGCATAATTTTCACTCAATTGGTGTAGGGACTACATATGTACATATGTATGAACATATGTAGTTGTGCTGAATTCAAAATGCCATCAATAAACTGTAAAAGAAATATATGTAGTAGGTACATTAGTGTGCGCCTTAACTTTGACCTAAAAAGCAAGACCGCCCCACCATAGAAAAGATCGTTTGGTCATAAAAAAGTGCTCTGCGAAAAATTTTCAAAATCAGATAAAGCAGAGGCGTGCCCCAGACGTACGAAATTTTTCATAAAGTTGCCTATAAGTCAGAGAGTAGTTTAATATGTTTTACCGGCACTTACAGGGCTAAAAATAGTAAAATATCATTCGTAAGAAAATTGAACGACAGATGGTAAGATAGTTCGAAAGACTTCTGTTATTCTAGCACAAAAGTCTTAGAAAAAAGGATTTCTCATTCACCATTCGTGTGGAAAAAGTTATTTTGAAAAAAAAGCACTCGTATGTCATTTAATTCGCATCGCTACAACAGTCGCAATGGTCGCAGAGGCATGCGATTCTTTTGTTAATTTTCTTTTAATTTGAATATTTTAAAGGGAAAAACATATTCCTTTTATTGCATTTTATTTTTAGGAATTTATTTTTTTCTCGTAATAAATTTTTTTGGACTAATTTTCTTCTTATTTTTTTTTTAAATATTATTTTTTGTATTTGATTTAATTTAATTTGTTTCTTTTCTTTTTAATTTAATTTGTTTTTCTTTTATTAATTTCAATTCTTAAAATTTTTATTTTACTGTTTTACAAGGAAAAACATATTTGTTTTATTTGTTTAAAAAAGAAAATCGTTTTTTAATGTACTTAAATTTTATAAATTTTATTTTATTCATTTCTTCCTTTTTTAGTTTAATTTGTTTTTTCTTGTGTCAATTTTATATGCTCGAAATTTTTATATTTTACTTGTTTAAAAAGAAAGATATATGCATATGTTCTATTTCATTTAATTTTTAGGGTGGTAGTTAATTTAATTTTTTTGCTTTCTCTTTTTAATTAATTTAATTTTTTTTTTTGAGATTTTGTTTTAAAAATAAAAACACTTTTTTTATTTTATTTTTTATTTTTGAATACTAGTTTCTCGTTTTTTGATAGTGTTTTTCTTTTTCTAATTTTTAGGTTTTATTCTTTTAAAAATAAAAATAAAATATTTAACTTTATTTAATTTAATTTATGTTTTTTAATTAATTTAATTTTTTTTAAATTCTATAAAAACGCCAAACATTCTTTCTATAATCCGATTTTCAAAAATTTTCACAGGACACATTTTTATGACTAAACGAACCTGTCTAGAGTCTTGCTGTGTAACTTAAAAAAAAAAACTTGTATCCACTCAAATTAGGCGCACACTAGTGTACACATGTACACACATGCACAAAAAAATCAAAAACTATACCCAGCCGGCAAAATATGTATTTTGGAACGATTTTCCGTCATCCTTTGTCAAATTTTTCATAGTTTTTAATAAATAATTTTCATATAAATTTAATTTGTTGACTCTAATGGCATTCGAACCTGGGAGCTCCTTGACGTTTTTCGGATACGAAAAATCAACCAAAATGGAAATCGCTTTCTGTACTTTTCCGAATATGAAAAATGTACGAAGACTGCACTGTCGCCAAAGAGTACGTTTCTCAGCTGCCTGGGTATTTATAACAGTAGGAGAAGCAAATATCTATGTTAAGTAATAATAATTGCAAATGCGGTCGGTATTTGTAGCTGCGCATATGCGCCGCGTGGATATTTACATGACCGCAACAGCTATTGATTGAATCATTGATAGCGCGTGGACGCGACTAGAGCCCAACGTTGTTGATAGTGTACTACATAGAACATATAGAGAGAGTGCTTGGGTGGACTTTTAAGGTGATTGACTGCCTCCAATTGTTTGTCGAATTAAGTACTGCGCCAAATGCGTTTGCACACGTTTCACTAAATAGTTATTTTATATCTGTATTCGCTATCTATGGTCCAGCAACATAGTAGGCACAATTTCTGTTGTTATTTGCATAGAACAGCGCATAAATTTTGCACAGCTCTTGTTGTCGTCAGAGCCACTTAGAATTCAATCAAGATTCTCGATGTGTACGAGCAATTATTTTATATGTATCCGCTGGATTGATGCGAATTCGTTGATTGAATTTGTTTTTTTTTTTTAAGGAAACACAGTGAGTGCGAATTTATTGCATTGTTTTTGTGTTACATGGAATATTTTATTTTGATTTTGGTTGAACAATGCATACCTTTGTACAAAATTAATTATTTTTAAAATATTTTAAATAATAAATAAATCTTCCAAAGTTAAGAATCGTAAATAAAAATGTAAGTTTTACCCATTATTATTGTTATTATTGCAGTTGAGATTTTTATTTATATTTCGAACACGTATCCACGCCGGGACGTATGTTGTCGTTCTGCATGCGCAATGAGAAGCGGCGTTCTTAGCGCCTTTTTTGTTAGTAGCGGCAAAACGATACATAGGAATTATCAAAAACAACATCAAAAAACACACCAAAACTTTATAGTACAGTCAAATTACGAAAAACTGACGATTTTTGGCATATGCGTCCAATACCGCGGAATAGCCTTCTAAGCATAGGTTACAAGGTCTTATCGAGCCTATTGTGAGAAATGCTAAACACCAACCCATCGAACTATTTAGGCCTTGCCAGTGGAGCCATAGACCTGATAAATCCACCATAGACCAGGTATTCACAATACGGCAAAGCTTGAAAAATACCCGCGAGAAGAAGGTCGACACTCACCATCTATTGGTCGATCTCCAAATCACTTTCGACAGCACGAAAATAAGTCGCCTTAATGCTGCGATGTCTGAATATGGTATCCTAGCGATGTAAAATGACATTGAGCAACACCATCAGGAGCTAATTTCAAAAATGTGAGATGTGCGAAAAATGTCGATTTTTCCGGAAAATTTCAGAGCCCGTATTGTCGGAGAATTTTTTTCTGTTTCATAGACGCCTATTGGCAACTGTGGCAATTTTTGTAAGGTGACAGTGTCAATACTGGAACTTTAATTTTCGATTAATGGCTGAGTGAAAGATCGACCTAACTGGACAGCCGATTTGGAAACGCCCTATCTCAGCAAATTTTTCAAGGGTACTCTTGGTTGAAGAACGGCCTACCTCATTTTTTTTCTTTCAGAACGCCCTAACTCAGCACATAGTACAAGAACGCCCTCAATCTAAATTTAATATATCGGCAGCTGAGATATGGCGTTTTTGGACCATTTGCTGATATAGAGCGATCTACAATTAAATTCTGAGATAGGCAGTTCTTCAACCAAATCCTGAAGTTTGGACCTGCTGCCGAGATATGTTGATCTTCCACTCGTGGAGCGCTGCTATTAATTCTGCGCTAATTGCATGCGCTCCCCCACTATGCCGCGATAGTTTTGTCACGAAGTAATATTATTACATATTAGGTTAGTTTCAACCCCAGATTATGAATATACTTGACTATTGCATCTGGAGTGAAATTGTTGAAGGCGCCCTCGATATCTACGAAGGCCCCTACGCATAATCTTTTTGCGTGAAAACTTCCTCTGACCACTTTACCAATATGTGCAGGGCGATATTGAGCTCAGGAAAGACAGTCAGGACAAATGGCGTTTCTTATTTACAGGTGTATCAATATCTCCAACGCTTTTAGTAAAAACGAAGAGAGAGCGATAGGCCTAGGGGAAGTGTGAGAGCATTTTCCGGCCTTCAGAATGAACGCAACACTGACTAACCTCCAAGCCTTGGGGATGTACCCGGTCCTCACGCAGTTCGCATAAATATGATCCAACCAATTGCACGACACCTTCAGAGCCCTTTGCAGCTGCGCAGTTATGATGCAATCGTTCCCCGGCGACTTTAATGGTTTCAACGAATTTATCGCCCAGGCCATGTGACGATCGTTCAATAGATCGGAGAACTACAGGACTTGAAGTACAAAATATCGCAAAGAAGTACGGTTGGTCCCATTATGTGTGAGTAACAGGGATAACAGTGCATCAACTGTTTTCATTACTGTAGAAATGAAATATATCCATCTACATAGGTTGCTAAGTTTCACCGGGTTTCAGTAGTGAAACCACCCTACCTACTAATTTCCACCCCCCAGGTGTGGTGAGCGACAAGTTGATGACCTCGGTGAGGTAGTTTACTCCGGCTGATCCCAGCTAACTTTTTTACCCCAATTTACTTTTGCGAATGTCGTTTCTTGTGAGAGTCGTTTTTCGAGAGTCAAGTCGTATCGAAAATTATACGGTATTGCCTAAAATTTCGACTCGACTAGACTAAAACGTGAAAAACTATCAGCACTGGATAGTTTTCGATGAATTTGAAGTGTTAAAGTGCAAAAATAACAAATGTTACTATTAACATTACTATTTAAATAAGGTATGAATACATAGCACAGAAATATTTTACAGCTCATCAGATAATGGTAAAATACAGGAGCTGATACAATTTCGAAGAAATTTGAGGCATGTGTGAAATTTCAGCCTTTCAATTTTTACAGGCAAAAAAAAAACCTTTTTGCTGTGCCCCAATTTGAGGTTAAGTAGATAAACAACGTTGAAGATTTGAGAAACACCTATTGGTACAAAACAATTGCTTATTTTAACCATTTGACAATGTATTTTCACTTATTCGACGACAAATGCCATTAAATTTGCCATTGGGAAAACAAGTTTTATTTGCAATATACTTACTTATATATGTATATGCGTAGATAATGAATAAACTAAGCAATTTAATTGAAAATGAGATTGACAAAAGCCATACCCATATTCGCGGCTACACCTATGCATACAAAATGTTCAATAAGTCGTAACATTTCAATTGAAAATGTCGCTGCAACAATTTCTAAATGCCGCATCAAATAAAAACACGTTTTGCGCATTTGATCTATCAGCCTCTTTGTGACCATAGCAAAATTTATTATTGATTTCTATTATGATTTGAATGTTTTATAAAATGCTTTCGTTTTTCACACCTGCTGATCAATTAAATTGTGCCGAAACAGATATACAAAACAATGCTTAAAAGCGCAATCACAATCGACGGTATCAACTTATCCTAAACAATTTATTTCTACATATACCTACATATTAAAATTTTACTTTCTTTCCTCCTTAAATATGCATCGCATTCCTTAAGCGCTAAAGTACTTCTGTACATAATTCCCTAATTTACAATCGATATTTGGCATAATTTCTAATAATATAAGAATAAGCAAATGATTGCACAATGAAATGTAAAACAAAATACTTAACAGTTGAACAATTAGAATAAAACTAATTGAAAGCTAATAAATCTTTGTGACGTGTGTGCTTACGCTATATATATATATATGAAGTATATATGTAGTTATGTTTACATAAAGCGGCAATTGAACACTAGATCGACTAGTTATTGCATATTCTTCATACTTAATAGTACATAGTTTAGAATAAACCTTAATATTTTACAATAATATATCAATTCATTCAAAAGCTAACGTAATTTACGTAAATTGAAAATACATATATCTTCATATAAAATTAATCACGTACATGGCTGCCTACGCGACTAACTTAACAAATTAAATTATACATGGTCGAATAAGAAGAGGTTAAATGAACTTATACAAATATTTGACACGCATCACAGCACCATGTCCTCTGAAATTTTAAACGCTTAAAAATTTAAAACTATAATCGCAGTAGCAATTCCTTAAAACTTTCTTGCATATACATATGTACATTAATATATATATACACATACATATGTGTGCATCTACTTATAGTAGGTATTTAAGCTTTCTTTATTACCGTAATATGCGACTAAAACATTTTATATACGTGCACAGAAATTATATAATAGCTGCTTGTCTTCAAAATGATATACATTGTTTATATGACGCAAAACACGTCCATCCACTAGGTGTCTAGCGTAGTGCACAGCCTCCAGACGGTCTTTAGAAAGACCCACCTCCATAAGCCAATCCACAAATTCGGTGCCGTAGAATACTTTGCGATAGACTTTGATACGCCACCTGAAGATGAAATAGAAATGAAATATGTATAAATACTCAGGATAGGAGTTACAATAGATGAAAACCGGATTTATGAGTATTATTTTTGACGCTCCCTGTATGTACATTAGACTGCATCACTCCTCATATAAAAAAAATCGGTACTATTTTTCCATCGGAATTGTAAAATATATTATATTTTAAGACGTCCACCAAAATATTTCGGAAAAATATTAAGATTTAAGTGAGCTGGACCGATTTGAAAATACCTCCAAAAATGGAGTTTTTTATGAATAAAAATAGTTTCTTAAAGATTTTTTTTGAAAAAATCCCCTCAAATGACAAAACGGTTTAAGCTTAAAATATTTGCATAAAAATATTAAAAAAAAATTAAAAAAAAATTTTGAACGGAATCGTAATGATGAGATTTTTGATGCTGTTTTTTAACTTTTTTCAAAGATTGGTATAGGAAAAACTTGAATAACTGAACCTAAACTCTTCCGATTTAGACTTAGGAGGTGTCATTGGAAAGGTATTTTCTCACCTTTTTTATTTCTTTGCTAATAAACTCATTCCAAGGATGGAAGAGAAAGGTAGGATGAAGGAACCTCATTCAAAATTTAATTAAGATGTGTTGGTATTCGAAAAAACAAGATGGGACACGAATGACGTTTTTTTGGCCAGAAATAAAAACAGTGTGAAAATACCTTTCTACTGAGATCCCATAAGTTTAAATCAGAACATTTTTGGCCCAGTTATTCAAGTTTTTCGTAAACCAATCTTTGAAAAAAGTAAAAAAACAGCATCAAAAATCTCATTCTTACGATTCCGTTGAAAAGATTTTTAAATATTTTTATGCAGATTTTTTAAGCTTAATCTAATTTGTCATCTGAGGGGATTTTTTTCAAAAAGTTCTTTAAGAAACTATCTTCATTCATAAAAAACTTCATTTTTGGAGGTATTTTCAAATCGGTCCAGCTCGCTTAAATCTTAATAGTTTTCCGAAATATTTTGGTGGACGTCTTAAAATATAAAAAATTTTGTAATCCCGGCGGAAAAACCGCAACTTTTTTTGGTGATGCAGTCTAATGTACATACATAAATCAAAATTTGGAAATAAAAGAGACTGATGCCTTGCATTAATGCTTTAAAACTAAAAGTTCATTCTTGGTCGAATCAACGCCTCAATAATTGTTTGGAACTCAATTCTTTTTTTGATGCTTTGACATAGGCTCGCACAAAAATGTCCAATGCGATAAGCATTTGAGATATACCGAAATGGTTTTTTCGGTGTATGCTTATTTTCGAGCTCCGGAAGTAGAAATTTCTTGAGGGCAGCGTACTGGTTAAGGAAATTTGGAAAGAAAAAAGGTTTTGAAATTTGTTAGATTTTTTAACCGACTTCAAAAAAGAAGGTTATTAATTCGTCGGAATATTTTTTTTTTGTTTTTTGTATGTTACCGCATAGCCTTGGACCACGTTAACCGGGTTAATTTCTATAAGTAATTTTTTAAACCAAAGGTGGTTCCCCATAGCGGTAATCTAAAACGTTTATATGGGAATTGAAGTCGGTCTTGTTTTTTGCTTAAAATTTACTTATTTTTGTTTATCTTGGAAACCGCATGCTGGCCTTTAGATAGGCGGGTTTGAAGCAAAATATTCAACGATAAGAGGAGTAAACTACATAAGTTACCAATATTCCACAATGTTTAAAAAATCATATATATTAATCATCATAAAATATCATCCGCAAACATTTTTTGTAAGCTTAGTATGGAACTCATGTATTCCCTATTCGGAGTAAATGTCGGAAAGTGGATTCGCGCTTAAGCGATTTATTTCTCCCTGTCCCGAGGCGGAATATCATGTTTTATAAATTTAGAATTATATTCGACTAAGTACGGTCCAAATGAGGACTGGGAGTTCAATACAGATTTTTCGACTATCTGGATAATCCGGATATACAATATCTGATTAAAAAAATCCGAATATCCGGATATCCCGATATTCGAATATCCGCCCATTTTGTTATCCGGATTTTCGAATTTTTAAATGACCTATAAAATAACAATTATTTATTCAAAAGGAAGTGTTCTATTGTTTATTTTGCAACTCGATATAGTTTGAGACCATTTTAACTAATCCGTTCAAATACTGTTTACAATATCCAAATAAACAAATGAACGTATATTAAGAGGATATCCGGATTTTATCCGTATACAGATATACGGTTGATCCCAAACAATTTTAAAAGCGTATTTTTCCTAATACTGAAGTAAATTTCAGACGCCACAATTTAAATATTTCTGACTAATTTCAACTGATTTAACGCTGTGAAATACATATCAGCAAATTATTTGAAAAAATTGAAGTTTTAAGCAAACTTGCAATAAAAAAGCAATAAGCGGTTACGTACCTTTCGAAAATACATAAGTGATTAGCTGATATATAAAGAGAATACATTTTATATTAATACAAACTTCTCTTTAAGTTAAAAGTTTTTTAAAATCGTGTGAATAAAATGCGAGTGACGAACTGACAAATAGAGCATAATTTGGAAAATGATAATCTACATACAAATTTAATGGTTAAATGCTCACCACATTTGCGTAAAACAAAGCCGATTTTTTTGGTTCAGATAAAATAAATCAATGAAAACAAATATGTTCTATCACTTGTGGTGACAGATTTTCTATGAGAAGCGTTTTCTTAGCGATCATGAGCTAGAATTTTACTTATAGATTTGTAAGCATTTTTGGTTTTGATATTTTACATACGCTGTAGTAATCGAAAGAGTTTCAAAATCTGTAAATCACTGCCTTCTGGTGTATGCAATTTCGTGAGCACCACATCCCCATTAGATTTTATGAGACACTTTTTATGCTTTTGTTTGTCACCTAATTGTTTTGTGATTATGTCTCCTACGTTATTAAGCTAAAATCTGCAAATGGAGACTAAACTTAATTAATTACATGTTTCCCCATGCAGACTTTGAAAACAAACAACAGAAAATAAATAGTTCAAACACACCTTCGATCCTTGGCAATATCCTTCTTGCAATTTTCCAAGTGATGGTTCCGGAACTGTTCACAAATATGCTTGGTTTCCGGACTGAGACTCGACCAGTGAGGCAGCGATAATACATTTGCTCCATACCTACGCAGATTATATTGAAAGAGATTAGATATATTTTAATATATTCTTAAACTTGAAAAACTCATTTTACGCACCACAACTTGCGCCAGATTTTCACTAGCGGTGTCAGCAGTTCACTAGTATCAGTGATAAAAACAGCCAAAACGACTAAGCTCTGACCGAAATTTAAGAAAGAGTCCAGGAAACTCAATTCCAGATAAATTCCGGACATACCATCCATAACTAGAGTCCAGATGGAGACCGCCAAGCTCTGAAATCACAGAGTTTTGTTTATACCTACTCACATTTATCTAGAGTCGTTTATTTTAATTCGCTTACCACAAACATTGAGCAAAGCAACATGATCAGCAGTACAGTATGCTTCAAAGTTTGATACTCATCGGCATCGCTGGCGTACTCCAACGGTTCTAGGCCCTGCCGTGTCTGGTCTTGATAGCGGTCGATAATCGTTTGACAACTTTGTCGTGAAGTACTGACGCCACAGTTGAAACCCGGATTGCATATACCAGAGCGGATGCCAAGATTTCTAGAGGACAGAAAAAATACACAATTATTTGAATATGTAACGGTAATTTAAGCCATAATCCCAAACTTACTCGTCTTCGAACTGATCTGTTGATGGAGTTGTTGTCGCATCGGCACTTCTTTGACGTTCCGCATCTTCTGCAGCTGATTTTGCGGCAGCTTGCCGACGCACAAGCAAATCTTCGATGTCTACAACTACAGTTGTAGTTTTGGGACTGGTCGTAGTGGAGCAACAAGTTCCACTGCCTTCACCGCAGCCGGCAACAATAGTGCTCGCGCCATTATCTGCCGTGGAAATAATATCGTCGTCATCAGAAGATGAATAAGATGCGTAACGGCGTCTTTGTGTTGGCACGCTGCCATTGGAGAGACGCGCACTATCAGTATTCGTAAGCAAATTTGCAGTTGAAATGGTCGATTGTAAGTCACCTGGTTCTAAAATGGTGGCAACTGTTAGTATATCAAAGTAAAAATTAATATACATGTAAACATAAAAAGTGTTCTTTACCTGAGTCAGGATTGGATAGCTCGCGCGTATACGTAAGATACTTCTCATAGCGCTTCTTGTAACGTTGATGCATAACTAAACAGCCGACAGTCACTGTAGAGAAATCGTATAATATGGTTTTATTTAGTAATTAAGGCTATATTAAAGATCTACTGTTGCCACATTTAAATCAGATTGAAAACTTTAAGCACATCACTGTAAGAGTCTACAAAACACTAAACGTTTGTTGATTTCAGCAGCCAGCCGAAAGCCGCAGCAGGTGGTCAGTGACCTAACAAGCACTGTTAACTGCCAAGGGCAATATGGTGGCCGCTGAATGACGTAAGTGCCTTTTAGAGCCTGTCGTAACTTGTCAAAAGCAGTTTTCTCATCACTAAAATATATACTAAAATCTGCGCTATGTTTTGGCAGTTCTTGCTTACCAAAGAAACACATTACAAGCATAAAAACGGTAACGGCTGCCTGCGCTGTGCCATATTGAAAACTAGGGTTGTGACTATCCTGCGATGTTATTTGGCTGTCCAATGCAATGAGCAGCGCTGAGATTATAGCAGGCACACCCCATGCGAAGGCAATCTGTTTGAGAAATAACAAAAATTTATATCAATTAAAATTACAATTTATCCTTCAATTTTCCGAACTCACCATGTAAGGCCACAATTTAAGCACAAAACATAAACTACGACACTGCAGGAAGAGCAATGCTATCGCCAATATGGCTGTCCACAAACGGCTACTAAATGTGCCCATGTTAAAGAGGAAAAACTGCAAGTATATCACCCATTTTTCAACATGTGCCAACTTGGCCCAAATGATCACCGCCAAACAGCACATAAACTGTGAAAGCACCAAGCAAAATGTTATACGTTGCGGCATGCGTCTGAAACGTTTGGTCACCACGAGCAATAGTAAAACCCAACCGCATGCAGCAACACCAGCTACGCTTATGTCGAACGAGAATACATCCAACTCATGTATATAATCTACAGGATTTAAATTTGTCAGTGAGATCATTTTAGCCGAGATGAACATTAGCGGCGCTGAGATGAATGTGCAAAGCACCATGGCCGTAGCAACCTGAAATAGGTGTGTAAATAAATTAGCGGAACAACGAAACAACATTCCTTTTACTTACCAACTCCACTTCAACATTGTATTGTGTGGCAATCACGAATGCGCCCGGCGCTGCTGGAAAAGTGCCATACAAAAAGCCAAAAGTGCTCAATTCTGTTGTATCGTTGAAATCTGTGCCCGCCTGCATGATGTTCACTGTCTGCCGGCACACTAGCGGCAGCACCAATCTGAGCAATTAAATTTCAAAACCGTTTAAGTTGGTCGCCTAAATGTATGCAACACTACGCTAACTTACATTTTAACCAGTATCAATATACCGGGTAGCAGAAAGCCTGAGCCGCGCAGCGAACCACCTTGGCCAACAATCTTTAAGCCCAGCAAAAAGAGCGCTGTGGCCGAGAATGACTGACCGAAGACACGCAGCGTGCTCGCAACTACTTCGGGCAAACCATTTGGAAAGACAAAAGCGCCGCCAACACCGAGTACCGTCATTAGCAGCATAGGATTGAAAAATAACGACTTAAGCGTATGCAAGACAAGCAACGGCTTTTCACCCAGACAGCGATTCCGCTTTGATAGCTGTTCAGCAGGACAATTGTCCGGACAGATGGTTGCCTCTTGAACCTGAAAGTGTTTCAAATTAGACTACATAAGTAAGTACATAGAAATTTGTAAAATCACAAGTGACATACCGCCTCAGCTTTGGTTTTAATAATTTTGGAGACTTCCATAAACACCAAGCCGATGGGATTAAGCAGCGCCAATGAGATGGGCGCCATCAAATACAAATACGAAGCATATTCCGGATGCACATCTTGGTATAAGGCCATCACTGCAAGCAACAAAAGAAAGTGTTCGTTGACTTATATAATAAAATATGTAAATATAGCAGTACATACCAATTGGATAGCCTATCGCGAAATCATTACTTTGCGTACAGAAAATACTGAGCAAACCGGCACGCGCGTAATTGAGTGGACGCGTAATGAGTAGTGAAATTACTAGTACAGCAACGAAGACGATAGTCTTGGAAATCGTCATCGCCAGCAGAAAGGTCCAATTCACTGTACTCCAATTAAGCTCGATCAGCGAGAGAAAGATCAGTGATGGCAACGCGAATGTGCCCACAAATGTGCCAAGGCCCTTGGTTTCGGAATTTGAGATTATTTTGAAGCGACCAGCGATATAACTGTGGAAAAAAGATGAGACAAACGTTAATGTAAAACTAAAATTTCTATTTCAATAAATAGATGATATAGCGTACTGAATTTACATATGAAAGTATATACTTTAAGAAAAGATGCCTATGTAGAAGTTCAAATTTAAGTCTTTACAAAGGCCAGATTTCAAATATAGTTAGCACCATTTTTGTCACCTACAATGCTATTCATACGAGGGGAGGCAGAAAAGTTTTGAGCCTAATGTCTTGTCCTGCGCGTCACTAATTGCTATTAGCCTTAGTCGAATAAATACCGAATGTCATCAACATCATTGCGTTTTCCGAAATTGGGCCGTAATCATCAACATGTGTTAGTCTTCCGCGCATTGTGCGAAATTGGCGTAGAGAGCTGTCATCAAATTCCTTACAAAGAAGAACAAAATGCCGACGGAAATATTTGAAGTTATGTCTACAGTGTAGAGTCCGACCGATTAATCGGCATCGGCATCGGCTAGTATCGGCACAAAATTAAGCATCGGCATCGGCCTTTTTCGCCGATTCTTTGCCGATTATTTGGAATTTCTTTAGCCCAAAATACAAAACGCAGTGGCAGCCTCAAAATTGCAATAGCTTGTAGTTGCTATGAGGTAGTGGTAGTTAATATAGTTAATTTTTGTAAAACCCATTATTCACTGATTTTTATTGTATCTCAAAAATTCAATTCAAATCTACAGTGACTTCAAATAATTTACGATACGTTTGCTGTCATAATACCAATTTGTTCACACGACAGGCAACTCCCTCCTTCACGTCAGTCAAAATTCAAGCTTCAACTGGAATATGATTAACCAACAAACACATATTTATATGGAAGAAAACTGTAACACATAGTTTGAAATTTGGATTGACAATTCGTTGAATATAGTTTGTAGTTTTCTACAAAGTTTCAAAATTGAGATTATGTGGACTCATGGTGGAATTATACAAGGTGTTGTACGTAGTGACAGCTCATGTCGACGGCTCCCTTACAAAAGGTTGTAATATGGAAGCACGAGAGAAACGGGAAGAAAAAAAGCCCGCTTTGCGAAGTAGTACGAAATTTGGTACTATTTTTCATATCAAATTTTGCATATAAATAGTTACAAACAAACAAGAAACAAGAAACTTAACGTTTGACATCGATAGACTCCATGTTGCCGTGGTCCGATTGTAGGAGGACGCATACTTACGTGTTCGTATCTAGGTTGGAAGATTAAATTCATTGCTGCAATATGGGCATCGGAAATGGTTTTGAAAACGCTTTATTTTTAGCAACCTCCCAGGGTGGTCACCGGTTAAAAAAATCAGATTCCACTTTAATTTAGGGAATTAGATAATTCAAATATGTATCACAGTAAAAGTAAGAAAATGTAATAAAACTACATTTTTGTAATAATTACAGTAATATAACAGTCTTATTTATTGTTAAATGCATGTTGTAAGTATTAACTTGGAGTAAATTAGGGTCCACAATTACTGAAACGTCGGAGTTTTCGTATTTTAAACGTATTGCTTTTCTATGCCAAGATAATTAAGTGCACCGAGTTTGGTATAAATTTATACAAATTGACAGCATCGCGACAATTGTGCACCCTACGTCGAATTTGTCCAAAAGCAAGTCAGACGCATTCTAAGCTAACCTGTTGAAGGATTACATAGAGATCACACTACGTGATGCTGCACCAAATGTCGATAGTGAAACAACCGTACACCACATTGTCACCAATGGTCCCCCAGTCCACGAGCGCCCACGCAAACTCACTGGTGAGAAGTTAAACGCCGCAAAAGAAGATTTTAATCTGTTGCTGCATCATGGTGTCATAACACGCAATCAATGGACAAGTCCCATCCACATGATGCCCAAAGAGTCCGGTGGCTGGCGCACTGCAGGAGACTTTCGCTTAAAAATCAACATAAACAAATTCCATATCGGTGGAAGTGAAGTAGTCTACTTAGGCTATTCTGTGAGCCAGCATTGTTACCAGCCTCCTGAGGAAAAAGTTATCCAAAGCCTCAAACAGTTGTTGACTCGCGCCGCTTCCTCGGTATTGTAAATTATTATAGGCGTATTTTGCCTCACGCAGCAGTAATTCAAGCTTCCCTCAGTGAGTGCCTGAAAACAGCGCCCATCTCGCTGTAAATCCTTTGGAGAATACACAAAGCCCACGTTTTTTGTAGAATTAAAGTTTAAAATTTGTTATTTAATTTTCCGTTGTCAACGAATAAGAATAAATTAAATGTCAAATAATTGTTCAGTGATTGCAAATCAGTTTTAGAATAGGCTCATTCCCTACTTTTAGTTTTAGTTTAGTACTTTTTTTAAGGCGGTAAAATGTAGTTTTTTCAAGAGGGAAACATCGATTTTGCTAAGGGAGTCAAGATGGCGGATTAGAGCGAGAACGCTGTCAATATCCAACACCTTGTATTATTCCACCATGATGTGGACTGTGTTAGGGAATGAACTGAATTCTAATTAAAAAATTTTAAATATAAATAAACATGAGTGACAAACAATATCGCTTTGAAATGGGGGTGCTATTGATATGGCCGATACTGTATTTTAATGCAAAATAAAGGCAAAACGTTGTAGTAATAACGGGAAATATAATAGGCCCGCGAATCCTCAACAAATATTTTACTTGCCATTTTACATTAAAAAGTTTACGACTTTGAGGCATTACGACGCTTACTTGTTGTGAATCCCCTAAAATTGTATTAAAACTCGTCAATTATGTGGTGACATGTAAGAAGTGAAAAGTACGGTTACCTTATTACGTACATTATTTTCTTAAGAAATTTCTTCAAATTTCTTTCACTCGAAAGGCTAACATCTTCAATTTCAGTATATTATCTCATAAATAGTAGTACCAGGTTGGTCGAGCTTTGCTCGAGGTGTATGTGCTTTTGAAAGATTCAAGGTTTGGGTTTCAAATACTGATCGTTTGGGTAGCTTAAAAAGTAATATTTTGAAAATAAATTTAAAAAATAGACTTTTGCTCAGTGTACGAAAATAAACTATATTGTACGTTACTATTTCGTTTCGTTTATTACTTTAACAGTTCGGTACAATACGAAACAAAACGGCTGAGTTCACTTTGGCGATAGTACACAACAGTAGTTTAGTAGTTACAGACGAAACAACAAACGAAATGAATCGTGCAGGGAAAATATTTTTATGTATGTACATATATGCAATAAACAAATACAAAACGAATGGCTGCAATGAATAAAAAAAATAAAAATGTTTTTTAATTGAATTGGATATGAAAATTTACAGAAAAAATTATTTTTCACGTAATTGAAACGTTTGCATACATATAAAACGTACCCTATGGTACAATTGTCACAAACGAAAAGCAAACGTTTCTCGTTGGGGAAAATGACAGTGAATCTTACAATTTGTTTCTGACTATTTACAAAACTGTACAAAACCACAAATGATATGATGATCGATGAGGAAATGGGAATTGTTTTGTACAGTTTATTTTCGTACCCTGCTTTTGCTACCTTACAAAGTAAGTTTTTTTTACATTACAAATTAGGTGGCAACCCTATTTAGAAATACGCTGGGATGAATATTGCATATCTTGAGCGAATAAGTACAGTGTACCTATACATACAACGGTAATTTGAAAGGCCGTTCACACCAGGCGATTGTTGCTACCATATTATGGAGATTAACAAAAATTATATTAAATATTATAAAAATTATAAAAAATATTTTTCATTTGATATCCATATTGTGAGTTTTTAGTTAAATTTTTTAGAATCGAGAATAAGTGGCAACCTTACACTAATATCGCAAGGGATAACACTTAGTATATAGGCAAAGTATTGTTTAAGAACCTTCTTTTAATGCCCATTAATAGTACCACCAGAACTGCACCAATTGATTTCGTGCCCTTATCAATGCCCTTGGTACAGCTATGAAGGAAGTTGACCAATCGAGAATTGTTAAACCATTAACATACTACATCCAGTGTTGCCAGAAGTGCCGATTTATCTTCAAAATTAAGATATTTTTCATAAATAATCAAGAAAAATCTTCACACGAAGATAATTACAAAAAATTAATCTTCATACAATAAATCTTCGCAGTGAAAATATCTGCCACCGCTTGAAGATTTATTTTTTGGGATGGTTGGCAACCAACTTTTCGTTTTGTCATCAATATACCTTGCACGATAGGTAGATATTAATTTCGATTTTTATGAATATGTTTTTGAATTGATTTTGCCTGTCAAAATTCGCGCTCAAACTCGGCTTTGTGCAGCTCACACTCGGCTTTAGGAATTTTCACAAAAGATGAAAAGTATGGATCGCGATTTGTTAAAACAAAATGGTAAGTAATTTTGGTTTCTAAATTTAAATTAACAAATTAAATTTTCTGTAATTAACTTTATAGAAACATCATCATCATCCAATAGCGAGAATGAATACCTTAAGTGGTGTTTTTTATACAAATGATCATTTAAAAGGTTTTGTATAACAAATACAACTTTAGTATAAAAAACTGATTTTTTTTTGTTAAAAAATCTTCAACGAAGATATTTCTAGAGAAACTAAATTTTTTTTTTATATTCAGTAAGCTTTTTACGGTTTTTTGAAGATTTATCATGACTGAGAAACAATTTTTCTGGCCTCACTGACTACATGAAAAGTAATTGACGGTTACAACAATTTGAGCGTCTGAGCCGTTAAACCACTATCACGCGACACTCTCTTCGTTTGGTGTCACATGAGTAACATGTAAACAGACTGCAGCTGTGTGCAGCGATTTCTGATCATATGCACGCCATGCAGCCACCAAACCGGCTATTGAATTAAGCAGAACAACGAGACTCGTACACGACGCGTCTATGTGTATGACGCATGAGCAATTTGTTGTCGTAATGCATTGAGGAAACTTAAGAAAGTCTTTGAAGATCGAATATAAAGAACAAAAAGTGCAGATCAGTACACAGAGAAATTTTCGTTTTCAAATTTGTATG